TTTACCCGACTCTTTGTCATTCAAGTTTTTCCATGTCCTTAATTTTCTTTACATCGTTTACACATATATCTCATTCTGCTATTATTGTTACGAAGTAATGTATATCTAATTCCTAATGAGGATTGCAAATATTCATTCTCATGGCCCCCCAGCCAGTCATCAAGGGCCAAGTCAAGTCAGCATTGAACATTCTCAAAAAACCCATCCACCATCTGAGCAGCAGTGACACTACTCCTATGCAGTCACCCAAAAAGAAAGAAATTAAATAAATAATAATAACAGACACGATCCATTCGGTCAAGACTGCTTGGGAGAAGGGCGGGCCCTCCTCCTGTCTTGGCGGCAGTTCTTGGTGCTGCAGTCTAAAATTAATCCCGGGCGCCGATCTGCAAATCTATCCAGGCTTGGCAAAGGGGGTAATGGGAGGGGGTCTTGGCGCATGATGCGGCTTTGCGGATTCTCTTGGACTTTACGGTTGCAGATTTCCTCCGAAGGGAAGGTTTCACGGGTCACCAACACACAGGCTGGGCTGCTGGGCTGCTGGGCACACACACACACACACACACACACAACCCACTCTCCAGCGATGATATTGGCTGAATATTTGACGCCGAGGCTGCTGTCGAATACACTACACCGTACGCCGTACGCTATCATCTGCATTATTTTGCTTGGCACACATACTCGCGTTCAGTTTCACCCTCCTTTCATTATTGTGTTTTCCCGTTCGTACGGGTTCCTCTCTTTCTGGCTGGGTTGGCTGCATCGTCAACGTCCAACACATGGAACGGGATACGATACGACACGATGCATCGCTACAAATGAGTATGTAAAAGTGTGAAGATTCGCGATCCTTCTCCCGCCCACTTTCTTGGTTGAATATACATACAAAGTCAGCAGGATCCTGGTGGGTGGGGAAGGCGGAAGACCCGACACGGATACGAGGGCCCCCTTCTCCCGTTCCGTTCCGGAATGAACAGAAACAACCATCTGAAGGGGAATTGGGGCGATTAAGGAGAGATGGGGCCAAAATGCCCAGCGAGACAAGACAGATGCGCCAAGGGTTATCTTTTTCGCCGCAGAGCAGATCAATGATCGTCACATCTAACTAACTAACATTTACGACCTGAAAGGCGCCAAGGCTGATTGTTGGTTAAGAGGAGGTTGTTTGTTGTTGTCTGTGTGCGTGTGCGTGTGCGTGTGTGGCGGAGGGGAGGCCTTCCTCTTGGCATTCCGTCCGGGACCGCCGTAAAGGGCTAATTACGGTACGCACGCCGCCATTCAATAATCAATCTGATTAGTCTGCCAAGCTTGGCCTTGCCCCGAATGTCCCTGTCCCCGATTCTTATGATGACTATGCATCGCCCCAATCTCTTTGCTTCCGGTTTCTTTCTTTCTTTCTTTTTTGCGCCGAGGAACAACTTTTGCCTTGGGTTTGGGGACTGGCGGCTGTTTATACTCGCCAAGCACTGGGACGCGCATACCGGGTACCTAGCTGCTAACGTAATGGGTAGTAGTTAGGAATCAAATAACTAGTCGTCACCTGGCGCAGAAGCTTTTGCTGGATGCCTTTTTGGGTAGAGTTTCATGGGCAGAGCGGATGTGGATGATGGGACGACGCTGTCTTCATCGAACCGCCTTGCGTAAGCATATGACTAATTAACTACGTCGTAGGTACGAATTGCACAGTACAACATGTTTTTGATGATCTGTTTTTCGATAAGGAGGCAGACCTCTGCTTGAGAACTTGAGAGTATTAAAAAAAAAAAAAAAAAAAAAAAAAAAAAAACCCTTTTCAGACGGTCTAGAATGAGACAGATCAAACATTTGAGCTTTTCTTGGCTCCTGGTTGTGAGCCCTGCGAGGGGGGAAATCCAGAGAATTTTTGAAAAGATATTTATTAGTTACTGTTTACAGGTATTATATTCCTTTCCCCCCTCTCCTCGTTCTTTTTTGCAAAGAAAGAGAAAAAAAAAAAAGAAAAGAAAAGAAAAGGATGATGATACACCGCCTGGTATTTTATCCCGCTGGCCGGTCCAGCATTTCGTTTCCCGTCCGAACTTCTTGGCGGGGTCCACTGTTCACCTTCAAACGATCGATGTTTTTGTCCATATATAAGTTAAATAGCAAGCTTAAAATAATAATAATAAATAAAACTTCCTCCGGAGACATGTTTGACAGTGGTCAGAGAACCCAACCCCCCCTCCCCCCCGGGACGGAAACGGTGTCTACATCATAAGAAGGGCAACTAAATGTTGTGAAGTTTGGCCAATGGATAGGGCTAGCTCTGGTGGAACGGGTCAGGTGAAGGGGAAGGTAGCTGGGTGCTGGAACCTCGGGGGATGTCTATAGAAAAATGCAACATCCCGTTGCCGAAAAGCATATGCCAAGTGTCATACTTAGTACACATAGGTTACACATGGGAATTCAAAAAAGTTGAAGAGACATAGGGCAGTTATGCAGTATAGGAAGGGTGGACAGGGCCCCATGGAATTTGGATTAGGATGTTGGCTGGGTATCAGAAGACCCCGTCGCGCGACTCGCCCTCATGGATTGGCATATGCATTCGACATGAGATCCATTTCGAGAAGTCTACTTCCAGTATTTCACCGCTGGGATGGCATCTCTACAAAAATACCTGTATTTCTCTGAAACTCTTGCAGACGAGTTCCCTGTGCAGAGGAGAAAGGAGACAAGCATTGCATCAGCTAATAGAATATACACTAGTTAGCTATCCAGAGGAGATTACGGAATACAGGGCTGGTGGATGTATGTATGTATGCATGTATGTGTAGAAACATCTGACCATCCAGGGAGCTTCTCTTAGATCCCGGGGCAGACTGAAAACCCATATCTAAACGAGAGTCTCACACGAATAATGCCTTGGCCCTTTTTGAGATTGCTGTGTGAATATACCAGCTTGCAATGACCGAGGACTTAAAGGTAAAACAACGGAGAAAGTGTCGAAACGGGGGGGGGGGGGTTGGACTGGAATGCTGGTCTGAAGGGCGAAAGGCGTACGACAGCTCAAGAGCTTCCCAGCTTCCC